ACAACATTGTTCCGGATGACTGGAGGCAAGTAAGAGTTATCGCCATTCGAAAACCCGGTAAACCCGCGTCGGATTATAACTCGTACCGTCCCATCGCGATGCTGTCCTGTATACGGAAATTGTTGGAGAAAATGATTCTTTTTCGTCTAGACAAATGGGTCGAGTCGAATGGTTTACTTTCAGATACGCAATTTGGATTTCGGAGAGGCAAAGGAACGAGCGACTGTCTTGCGTTGCTTTCAACTGATATTCAACTGGCCTATGCGCAAAAACAGCAAATGGGTTCAGTTTTCTTGGACATTAAGGGGGCTTTTGATTCTGTTTGTATCGATGTCCTTTCGGATAAACTCCACGATAGTGGGCTTTCACCAATTATGAACAACTATTTGAGCAACTTGTTGTCTGAGAAATATATGAGCTTTTCTCATGGAAACTCGACAACTTCACGAATTAGTTACATGGGTCTCCCCCAGGGTTCATGTTTAAGCCCCCTTCTTTATAATTTTTATGTAAAAGACATTGATGGTTGTCTTGATGAAAATTGCTCGCTAAGGCAGCTTGCAGATGACGGCGTTGTATCCGTTATAGGGCCAAGTGCACCGGACCTGCAAGGACCATTGCAAGATACCTTAGACAATTTGTCTACTTGGGCTATGAAGCTGGGTATCGAATTCTCTCCGGAGAAAACTGAGTTGGTTGTTTTTTCTAGGAAGCATCATCCTGCACAGTTACAGCTTCAACTAAAGGGTAGAACAATCACTCAAAGTATATCTTTCAAGTATTTAGGTGTCTGGTTCGATTCCAAAAGCACATGGGGAAAACATATTGCGTATGTGAAACAAAAATGCCAACAAAGAATCAATTTTCTTCGTACAATCACTGGAACTTGGTGGGGAGCACACCCGGAAGATCTGATCAGGTTGTACCGAACAACCATCTTGTCGGTTCTAGAGTACGGAAGCTTCTGCTTTCAATCCGCGGCGAAAACACATATCCTGAAGCTGCAACGGGTTCAATACCGTTGCCTCCGAATCGCGCTTGGCTGTATGCACTCGACGCATACGATGAGCCTCGAAGTACTCGCGGGTGTTCTCCCACTGACAGATCGTTTCGCGGAACTGTCCTTCCGGTTTCTTATCCGTTGTGAAGTAATGAACCCATTAGTAATAGAAAACTTTGAGAAGCTGCTCGACAGAAATCCTCAAACAAGATTCATGAGTCTCTATTACGAGTACATGACGCTGGAGATTGGCCCTTCTTCATTCAATTCCTCTCGTGTTTGCCTCCAAGACTTTTATAGTTCCTCTGTAAATTTTGATCTGACCATGTTGCAAGAAATCCGTGGAATACCAGATCACCATCGATCGATGGTTGTTCCCTTAATTTTTGCAAACAAGTACCACCATGTTAGTAACAATAAGAGTTTTTTCACAGATGGGTCAACTATAAACGCTTCCACTGGATTTGGAGTATTCAACGAATTTCATAGCGCCTCATATCAACTGCAAAAACCCTGTTCCGTATACGTTGCGGAACTAGCAGCCATATTTTACGCAGTAGAGCAAATTGCCTCACTACCATCTGATCACTATTTTATTTTTACTGATAGCCTTAGCTCGTTGGAGGCTATTCGATCAATGAGGCCGATGAAGCACTCCTCGTATTTCCTGACCGAAATCCGAGCAAAATTGAGTACTTTATCTAACTGCTCCTATACTATCACCTTAGCTTGGGTCCCATCTCATTGCTCAATTCCGGGTAATGAGAAAGCGGACTCGCTTGCTAAGGTGGGCGCTATGGAAGGCGATATTTTTGATCGACAAATCGCCTTTGCGGAATTTTTCTCAATTACCCGTCAGCACGTCCTCACCAACTGGCAACAAAAATGGAATGAGAGTGATCTGGGAAGATGGTTACATTCTATTCTCCCACAGGTGTCGAACAAGCCATGGTTCAAAGGATTGGACATGAGCCGTGACTTTATACGTGTCATATCAAGGCTCATGTCCAATCACTACTCGTTAGACTCGCATTTCTTCCGAATCGGGCTCGCAGGCAGCAATTTGTGCGCTTGTGGTAGTGGCTATCACGATATCGACCACGTGCTTTGGTCATGCACCCTACATTGTGTTGCTAGATCCGAGTTATCCGCATCCCTCAGGGCCCGAGGAAAACAACCTATGCGGCCCGTTAGAGACATCTTGGCGAGCCGAGATCTCGAATATTTTAATTTAATTTATGTGTTTTTAAAACGGATCGATCTGAGGATTTAGTAGTTAGTGTCATCTTGTGTTCCCCCAAGTTGTTAGCTGCCCATCGGTGTACCCCCATGTTTGTCTTTTTCGTCAGTTGGTCGCTTAGTTCGAGATAAAAAGCACATTGCTCTCCAAACCTTGTGTTCTCAATCCCTACCCTGCCATCCATTTGTTACAATTTGTTACCCCTAACCTCGAGATAGCCGCGAGTAATCGGTCCCCGCTTTACTAACGTTAGTTTTAAGAAATTTTGTCATCCAAACAATGAATATCGGCTCCGCAAAGCTACGGCAAATGAGCCTGGAAAAATAAACGCATTTAAAAAAAAAAAAAAAAATACAAGTAAACTACGTTTTCTAGAGTTTGAGTAATTTAATCTTAAATTTGAGTCGATTTTATATGCCATGTAGTGTGGATATCCGTTAGTTACTTAATACTGGTTCTTTTGCACGCCAGAAGCGGGGGAACGAGCACATCTTAGTGAGGGATTCAACTTTTCACCACCTAAATATAGAGAAATCGACAATCAAAAGAGCAATTTATAAACTTAATGCGATTCTAAACACTTCGTGCTCAAAAAGTGTTGATGAATCAGGAACAGGGTTGCTGAAACGCAACATATTCATTCAATTTTGCACAATAATTACAGCACCAGCTTTTGTGATTATTGCATGTTCAATCTCTGGAAAAAAAAACGATATTCGCCCGGAGATTTGGCAACAGTTTATGAGCAAAAAGAGGGACGCACATTTTTGCCTGTAGACTTGGAGACATACTTCAAGTCTCCGCGTACATCGTACGGGTTAGGCAAAAATGTGCGTCTATCTTTAAAAACTGTCGCATTAATGGCCTTTCTCTCATTTTCAACTTCTATTCAATTTTCATACTGCCGTACTCTAACGGAACTATCCACCTACCCTCTTCTAAAGATCATTCTCTAGCTAATAAATCATCACACTAAAGCTTCATGTTAGCATTTCCAACCAACTCTGAAAATCGTTAACTTCGCGTATGAAGTAACATAAAAACACTTTGAATGTTTAAAAGAATATAAAAAATAAGATATCATCGAAGACTACAGTGTCTTAACTATAATTTGAACCAAATAAATGAGAGAAATTTAATCGAAAACATCAATCGAAAACATTTTCATCTTTGTTGTTTGCCGTTACTGATCACCCATCCCAAGTAACTCATTGAGTTATGTTTAGTAAACTGCTTTAAAACCAGAAACAGTCATGCAAAGGTTATAGAAACTGTTACAGGACAAGTGTGTTGTTTGTTATTATTATTTAGCTCGTATGTCGTATTTCATTTTGCAATGATGAAGATATTTTTGATTTCCTGCTTAAGACATAACTCGAGACAGAGGAAACTTTCTGAGGTTTACAGTATTTACCATCTAGTTTCAGATGTATACGGTTACGTTAACAATAATCAGCTTATAGCAGACTTGTTTATCAGCTCGTAATGAGTATCGGATTTTCGCTTTTATCAAAGCATAGTGATGTTTAGTTCAAAAGAAAAAAAAATCAACTTGTCACCGGCCATATTGAGGCACAGGTATAAAAATGCAATCCCGTTAACTCCTTCGCATCAAAATCTCACATGTTCCGTCAGCGGTAAGCCGACAAAGTTTATTCGCCTTACATGGCTAGTTTGTTTCGCCTCTCGTTTGTGCGCTCTTTTCCCTCGCAGGATTATTAACTTATGCTTCATTCTGCCATAGGGCTTACTATTCGGACAAAGTTGAAACGTTGGACAATCAGTATGAAAATAGATTTGTCACACATTGTTTGTATGTCCAAATGTTTGATGGCCGTCCCAGACAACCTGAAGTAAAATTACAATGCACGGAAAGAATCGTATAAGCCTGCTGTTCACGTAAAAGCCGTTTATAAGTTGGAAATTTATCCCATGATGTTCTAGTTTAATCATACACACTTAGAAAAAACTAATTTTACACGTGACGGAATCCATCTTTGAAATAAAAGATGAGACGTAAACAAACATGTCATGTAAAATTAAGTACTCCGAGACTGAAACGTTCGAAAGTACGTTTGATTGAGCTGAATTTCACGTTTATTATGACTCGATTTTATGTCAAAATTGACGCTCGTATATGTCAGTCTCAGAGCACCTAAATTTACATAAATTTTTCTAAGTGTGTATATAATGTAAATTTTTAGATAATGACGTAAGACTTTCAGCGAGTGATTTCAAATTTATTTGAATACTGGAAATATTTGGTTTCCACTTTTGAACGTAAATGTCATTTTTCATGAGTTATGTTCGTGGCGGTATGACATGATTCCACCGGGAATACATATATGTAAGAAGATTTGAAACTTACCGAAGGTGAATTAGCCCCGTGTTTTTGCCTTCCCTCCCACGATGAATACGTTGACATCTTCTTCTTCTTCTTATTTTACCGGTCATGATGACAACGGCAAAGGGTGGGGTCGTTCAATAACATTGATGAATCTGATTATCCTCTCCTCCGTCCCCTGTTCTGACGTTTTCATCAGATGTTGATGCTTTCTTATGGACGGTCTTGAGCCCAAAAATAAGTTAAGAATTGGAGCATACAATTCATCGTGTTGTTGGTTGCTCGATTGCAAAAAGCTAAAATCATGCTTTTAGAAACGAGAAAGGAGGAGATGGAAGATTTAATCCCTTATTGAATAAACGTGAAGCGACGCATATTTTAAATTGTGTTTCTCTTCTTGTTTTTCTTTTTCGCAGGAGTTCGGATGTTGGATGGCACCGTTAACGATGCCGTGGAAGCAAAAGCTCTGGGCCTAAATCCTGACCACATTCACATCTACAGCGCCTCGTGGGGTCCGGAAGACGACGGATCCACGGTGGACGGGCCTGGGCCTCTGGCTCGGAGGGCGTTCATCTTCGGAGTTACCAGCGGTCGCCAGGGCAAGGGATCGATCTTCATCTGGGCCTCGGGCAATGGAGGCCGGTACACTGATAGCTGCAACTGCGATGGCTATACCAATTCCATCTTCACCCTTTCGATCTCCAGCGCTACACAGGGAGGGTAAGTTTTCTTTGAGTTTGCAATTTCGTGCAATTTGATCGAGTCTATAAACATATTTCTCAATCTGCAGTTACAAACCCTGGTACTTGGAGGAATGCTCATCTACCCTTGCCACGACGTATAGTTCCGGAACTCCTGGACACGACAAGAGTGTTGCGACCGTGGATATGGATGGATCGCTACGACCGGACCGAATCTGTACGGTTGAACATACGGGAACTTCGGCTTCGGCCCCACTGGCAGCCGGAATCGCTGCATTGGCTCTGGAAGCAAATCCCTCTCTGACGTGGCGTGATATGCAGTACCTGGTTGTGTTGACATCCCGTCCAGAACCTTTGGAGAAGGAGTCCGGATGGATCCTGAACGGCGTCAAGAGGAAAGTCAGCCACAAATTTGGCTACGGATTGATGGATGCTGGATCAATGGTCAGCCTGGCGGAACAGTGGACAAGTGTCCCACCGCAACATATATGTAAATCACGTGAAATCAACGAAGATCGCTCTATTGAGGGATCCGTTGGATACACTCTGCAGACGCACATGGACGTAAATGGCTGCGCCGGGACGGTCAACGAAGTTCGTTTCCTAGAACACGTCCAATGTAAAATCACACTAAGGTTTTTCCCTCGCGGGAACCTCCGAATCCTGCTAACTTCTCCCATGGGAACCACAAGCACTTTGCTATTCGAACGGCCTCGTGATGTAACCAAGTCTAACTTTGACGATTGGCCATTCCTGAGCGTGCACTTCTGGGGTGAAAAGGCCGAAGGCCGTTGGACACTTCAAATCTTGAACGGTGGTCGAAGACGCGTCAGCCAGTCCGGCATTCTATCCAAGTGGCAACTCATCTTCTACGGAACCGATCAGAATCCAATCCGACTGAAGAACGAAGCTCAACGGGGTTCGATCGCCAACTACGGCAACGTCAATCCATTCGTGTTTCCAACCGAAACGGACATCAATTCACCAGCCTTGAGCGGTGCCGGAAACTACTACCAGTCGGACATTTACTCCAACTCGATGAACTATCCGTTCCAGTTCAGCGGCGCAGGCAGTGGCATCGACAAAACGGTGACCACCCTGAATGGACACAACATTCCAACGGCTCAGCGGGAGAACGTGATGGCCGATTCGAACAACAAACTGGTGGTGCTGCACGACTGTGATCCCGAGTGCGATTCGCAGGGTTGCTACGGTAAGGGACCAACCCAATGCGTTGCCTGCAAGCACTACCGATTGGACAAGTGAGTACATTTTTGTTTTTAAATATTGGGAGCAACAATTGATCACCAAATATTGCATTCCTTTCCTCCTCCGATCAGTACCTGTGTGAGCCGGTGTCCTCCGCGGAGTTTCCCGAATCAGGGTGGCGTTTGCTGGCCGTGTCACGAGTCCTGCGAAACATGTGCCGGCGCCGGTCAGGATAGCTGTTTGACTTGCGCTCCGGCCCACCTGTACGTCATCGATTTGGCCGTTTGCCTGCAGATCTGCCCGGATGGTTACTATGAAAGTGAGTACCAAATTACCTACCGCATTGCGTGCAATCATTGTGTTTTCATATGCCGGTTTGATTTTGTTCGCTTTGATATTTTTCGTTGAACGAAGAAGCGAGCAAAACTGACAGTCAGCGTTGCCAACAGTTTTGCAAAAAATAACTGGCAAAATAGTCCTCTCCAGGCGGGTTTGTACTGGAGCGATTTGTTTGCTGTCAGAGTTATCAAACGAAATAAAAATAAACAACAAAACAAAAGCAAAACCTACGCATGCACGGTAGGTATTAAATGCCAAAAAAAAAAAAAAAAAATTCACTCATTTTCAATCGGATGAACTCTAGCTTGCAACTCGGAATAAGGGATTACTCTGAATTTTCCCAATTATAATCAATATCTTAACTTATTTGATGGTCTCCGGTCTTTCTTGAAGATTTTGGTCCTTCTTAAGTGCTCTCACGACTTTTTTGAAACTAATGGAACATTAGCATTAAGGTTCTACGATCTTGCAAATTGTAGTAGATAGAGTTAGTGTGGAATAAAGAATGAGTAGCATCGAGTGAGCGTGAAGCGTGATAGACCATATGTAAACGGAATCTCATTGGTTCGAACATTTTGATTGGTTAGTAGATATAAATATGAGGTACCTAAGCTAACAAATTTTGGAGAAGACGGACCAGCAGAAGGAACAGGAACAACAATAGCAGCAGCATTGGAGCCAGTTGCAGCCGTGGGAGCTGCACCATTAATTCGTTTATGGGGTGTTTACACTTATGCTAGCACTAGCATATTGTAAACAGGGCATCAGCGTCTACCAGCATGAGATTTCAGGAGCAACTGAAATTCGTGCTAGTTGGCGAGTACACTAGCGCTAACAAATCCGCACAGATATAAACACCCCATTAACCGTGGCCTGAAAAACTCGGTCCGGTCACGCCATTAAAAAGCATAGAAATTCCCTGAAAATGTTCTCACAATTTTCTAATGTTCGTGTTCCTCCTTTCACGTTTCAAAAATCAAGACCTATATCTAGTGAATAAATTATCACACTAAAGCTTAATGTTCGATAGCATTTCCAACCAACTCTGAAAATCGGTGATAATTTTGATCACCATTGCAACAGTTGGACCTTTGTGTTATTTTCAAAAGTAATCTATTGAAAATTGATCAAATGTGCATTTTAGCAGATTCGTAGAAAAATTTACAATCGATTGGCATGTTTAGAGTTATAATCCATCCGCTATTAACAGAGTTAAAAGTGGTCAAAACCTGACCACTTTTCGTAACGCGGTTGACATTGGTATTTTGCAAATTGCACCCCCAAGATGCTGCCAAAGACGCAATATTACGTAAAAAAACACCATTTTAATATAAATAGTCGACATCCATTAATCCTTCAACTACTTCATAAAACGAAGCAATAGTTGATTATTTTATGAGATTCCTATTTGCACTCACTCAGCAATCTGCTGACAACCGATAATGGTCATTTTGTTTCTCTTGAGCTCACACGAGTGAGTGAGTTTTCCCATGCTTGCCTTTGTCACACAAAACCGAAATTCGATTCTTAGTTCGAAATTGTACGTGATACTCTGGGCAACTCATTCAACACTCCTAATACAAAGCTCTGCAGTTGCAGTGCATGTCACTATACTAGAAAGGCTATCACCCATATTCATTCTAAAGAGAATGCATTTTCTCAACGCATTGACGATTACACCAATAAACTATATGAACATCTTTATTAACCGCACAAACATAACCCCTTTGACTCATACATTAGGATATCAACTTCTCGGTACCACTTGCCGCATTTTCTCATCCGTGTAGGGAAACTTCTTCGTAGTCGACGCAAATTGCTCTCCGTACAGTACCCCGCTAAAAAATAAATCATAAACCGTTAACCACATTGCCCACCTTTTCGCTTAAACATATCTACACAGACCTCTCCATGTCGCAAAAATATCCCATTTTGAATCCTGGTGGCCAGGTGGAAGCGTATCGATTTGAATTGCAATTCATCGGCTTCGGTTGGGCGTAGAAGCTATGAGAGAATGCACTGTTGTAAAAGTACGGACACAGCCCGTGCGATCCTTTTGGAAACGGTCCAGCTGCTGGCTGATCTCGCCCGCAACGTCCCAGGCTCCAACTAACGTGACAATCGCGACGTGCTGTACCGAATATTTCACTGGTATGGATACATTGTACACTCTTGGCTGCCTGCTTGGGATCTAGCAGGAAGTAACTCTTATCGTTGTCAAAGCGCACACCCGTTAGCTCACACACTGTAATGGAACGGAAGAAGCTTAGAATTGTTCGAATTTCCATCGCCAAACATGTCACATTCTACCATCGATGCGTCCGATCCTCTGTAGTCCAAAGCGTCGACCGGCTTCCAAAGCCAAATTAGCTCCAAAACTGAATCCAAACATGAAACCACGACTCGGATCGAAGCCAACCGCTTCTAACCGCCGTAAATGCCGGGTCAGAGAATTCACCAGTAGGTCAAAGTTCGGGTACAGATCTTGGAAATAATTCATCACGCGACTGTTGTTACCATAGCTCATGAACATGTTGCATCCATCGCGATAGCTTGTCAAATTCGAAAGCAGATCGATGACCCAGTCCTTAGTCGGTCCATCACGCCATCCATGAAGCACAATTGCAAACTGATCATCCGGATTGCATCCATTTTCAGCGAAATCGGTGTCATTTTCCGACAGGTAGACCAATTCATTGAGTTGCCTGTAAAATATAGTTAGTGTTAGACTTGTCCATCTAGCAATTCCAATTACTCTCGCTTTATCACCTATTGAAGACGCCATACTGAATTGTGCTCTCGAAACCACCCGCTGCTGCGATCTCAAGCTCACGGTGTGCTATCAGCAGCACCAAAAGAGCATACCATCCACCAAACGACTTATTAATGACTAACAGCGTACGATCAGGTTTTGTTCGGGTGAGATTTGGGCTGCAAGACTATCGATCGGTGAAACTGACCCAGTTCGGAATCTTATCTAAATCTTTAAATCTTTATTATCCAGTTTGGAACCAGTTCCTAACCCGTGCGAACCTGAGCTTGTTGTCAGTGCGAACCTCAACCCGAGCCAGACAATCTTGATACCCGATCCAGGTTGGAACTGAATCAAAATCAAAACTAAATTTGTTATTAGATCAGCTACGCGATCAGATCGTAGGAAGAGTCACACTAGTAAAACCGTTGCTTGGACAGGTTTGAGGTAAACTAGAAGATAAAAAAACATCAACAATAACGGTCTTCCGCATTTACGGATAGAAACTGGCGAAAGCAGGAAGAGTAATGATTGATCCGTGCCTTTGCAGAAGGGTAGGCAGTCCTATAGCTACGGGTGTGTCTTCTGTGGAGGTACTGGAATGAAGGCTTAATTTTGGTATAAATGGTGATTGTTCATTCTGTTTAAGGTGATTCCATGTAGAGTACGTTTTCTTATTACGTTTCTTAATTTAAAGAGCACAAATCTCAAGATTTACAAGATTTATAAATCTGTTAATTTCAGGCTTAGCGGCGCCGGTAGTGTAGTGGTAAGCGTGATTGCCTCTCACCCCAGCAGGTCTGAGTTCAATCCCAGTCGGCGCCGCTGCGATGTTCTGAGGCTCTAATCACGCCTTCCTTCGGAAGGGAAGTAAAGCCGTTGGTCCCCGGTTCATGGGTTGATGGGTCGATAGGTAGGGTCCAGGTGTGGGAGCTGCATCCCTGGCGTCGGTAGCATTGGTGCTCAGCATGGAAAACAATATCGACGAAAAACAAATCAAGGAAAAAAAAATCAGACTCTACTTGACTAGAAGAAGTAATTTAAGCTACTTGCTTTGACTAAAACCTTAATATTCAGACTTGAGAAATTGCGGAATGTGATGCGAAAAAGCACGCTATAAGGAATCAATCATTCTCTAATGAGTTTTAATGTCACAAGTGGCTTTCTCAGTCCTAATCTGAAATCAAGCAGATCATGGCTTCTTCCGCAAATTTCTCGAATATGGAAACTCGCCCTAGCAAACTACCACGATGATTGTGTGGAGAAAGAGTCCCTTGGTTGCTTGCGTGAATAGACTTTAAATTACGAGAAATGTGTGGATGAAGCCATTGTTTACATTAAGCCCTTATGACAACGAAAAAGAGAATTAATATGTTTCAATCGTAGAATAAGTGCAAGCAAGATATCCGAAAAATTGTCGATGATTTATAACATTAAGTTGTGAATTCAAAAGGTATTGTGTCTGCAACTAAACTTCTGACCGCAAGCGGAACTACCAGCACTTCCCAAGTAACATTGCTAGTTTTAAAGAGGTTTTATAGCACTCTACAAGTCTAAATCATGGTCTATAGAACCCTCATAAAACGAAAAGTGTTGCTTGGGTTGCGTTGCAATTTCTTAAGTGTAGATTCTGACATTAAAAATGCAAGTCTCATTACCCAAGCCTAAAAACAAGGCGGGTATCAACAAATAACAAATGCCACCGCTATGCGTACACGGTTCTTGAAGTCGGAGTGTTTAACGTCAACAAGATAATTTTTCCCATAAAGAAGAGATCAAATGGGAACGCCTTTACTCCAGGAGGAAATCATATATAATTTGTGATGCAATCAAATACATCAAATGCTGAATAATTTACCCTATTCAACCAAATATTGCTAAAAGTTGGTGAAAGTTTTTGCTCTTAATTCATGCTGGGGAATGGGCACAAACTTCATCAACACTCAAAACTAGTGCTTCCCGTCATTTTTTGGCGTAGGACTACGTCTTTAATTTCTATTCTGGGGGTCGCATTAAAAAAAAATCAAAATTCAGACATGTAACGAAAAATCCCAAACACGGACGCAACGATAGAGCGCAAATCGAACACACGACACATTCCCCTTTCTAATATGAGCGAGCTCAATGCTCGGTTGATCTCTCACTATTTCACCAATGAAAAGAAGGGAGGAGAAAAGCGGCGATAATAAAAACGCTTGCCAAATTGTTTTTTTCGTCATTTGCTTTCGAGCAACCAAGTCCCCGGCAACGTGACAGATAACCTTAGTTTCACGTACCCACTTGCAAATAGTAGATGTCGCCACACAACGTTAACAAAGGGACTGCCCTTCACCGCCGCAACGGTATTTCTCTATGGGAAACCAACTTATTGTTTCACCATGTATGGATGTCAAACAACAAGCAACAATGACATATGAAAAGAGCGAATTTATGATTTTCGTGGTGAAATGAAATAAATCCAAACAAATCGAAACAGATTGAAGGAGGTCTTCCTTTTATAATCAAATGGAAATAAATATACTTTGGTCACTTCTATTATATTTTGCTCTTGAATATTATCAGCCTTGAGAATAATGTTTCTGAGCATAGCTGTGCGATAAAGACAAAAGTCGTATCAATAAAAAGAATTTACTTCCCCATATTTATATTGCGGGGTCAAAAAAATACAAAATTGATTCTTATTCGCGGTGAGCAACAGGTTTGCTGCGTGAAAACTAACATTTCGTATATCCATGCACTAACATAGTGTAGTACTTGAACTTCGACTAGAATGGGGTACGTTTATAGATGTACTTGGGACCGATAGGCTAGTCAAGGAGTGAGCCAATTTAAAATCGTTAGTTTCATACGGTTGATTGTACTAACGTTGTACTCTTTTAAGCTATTACCTCAAATTGTATATTATGCAGTACTAACTGCATTTAATTAGTACGCTCTTTCTCGCTGCAAAACCATTCTTTCTTTAGCAATAGCAATAGCGTCGAAAACATCGAAACGCTCAATTCTCATTTGTTTCGATTCATTCGATGGCAATCACTTATTTTCGTTTTACAAATCATATGTTTAAGCTTTTGGTTTTGTTCTGCTCAAAGACATACGTGGCTTCACAAAAAGATTAATAAACTGATTATGTATATGCAATAAGATTATCTTTAAAATTACTTTTTATTTACTGTATGTCATTTCCGCATTCGCCCTATTCAGATAATACTTCTGAAATTTGTAAGTTTGACAGAACCACCAGCACCAAATTTTCTGGGTACACTGGAAATGTACTGGAAATGTCAAGTTGCCCCCGGGTTGCGAGCAACGGACGGATAAACGTCTGACACGACGTATGATTAGAACAGCACGCATCGCACCAATACGAAGACGAACCCGACGATGAAAGCACCCACGTCGACCGGAGTAAAGGCTTCCCGCAATAGGCAGCATGACTAGGCCGCCGTCATCCGGTCGGCATCGACTTGCCCTGGTGTGACCAACATTTGAAAAACAACCGGCCCTTTTCAGTGCCACCAATTCAAAAACGGAAAGAGTTAAGAACTAAATGATCAACATATTTGTTCCGTCCACTAGCGGTCCTACGTCAAGCTGCCGTTCGTGCCTCTAGGCACAGACACTTCTACTTTTTCTAATAGCTTTGTTCGATGATCCTAATGGGTGCTACGATCAAAATCTGCTCAAACAGAAATGCGTTTAAATTGCTTTTTTTTTATTAAAGAAATGAAACTAGTTATCTTTTTAAAGTTCAATTAGTATAAAATATTTTAAAAATTCAGCTAAGCTTCCGGTTGACCAAAACAGCACGGAACAATCGTGTTGCTTCAGGCAAGGCAGCAGACGTTTTTCCAGACCCTCGTTCACGCAAATGTCCTGGTTGACGGTCCTGATTGCAATAAAAATGTCGCTTTTCAAGCCACAGGTACAGATGGCCTGCCAAACCAGATACTTCTTAGCGAACTTCGACAGTTTCATGCGCTTGAAAAACTGGTACGGGAACAGGAAGCTCGGAGGAAGCACTCGGCGTGCGAGTAGTTCGTATTTTCGCGATGCGCTTGCAAAATTGTGATGCGTTGCTCTGCCGCTCATGGCAAGTCCGTCCCATAGCACAAATCAGCAAGCCGAGAAAAAAACGTTTTAGTTTGTTTCACCCCATTGCTTCCTTTGTCATGAAACAACCCGTTCTCTTGTTTTTCCCAACTTTTCAAGAACAAAATTCAGTATTAAGAAAATTTGGGTAATGAGCTAACATTTCCATTGAAAAAACTCATTTCCTCTTATTTGGACGCCATTTTGATGACTGAAGAGCAAGTGTCATAATCAAAATAAAGCCGTCATTATACACGCACACACCTACAAAATGAGGGGTGTTCAGGTTTTTAAATTCTAAAAGAAATGCGTCAAATTTTGATCCTAACACCCTTTATTTTACGTTGAATTTTGTGTATTTTCCAATCCTTTCGGCCATACATTCGTAATACAAAAGAATGTCAAGCTGAGGTTGTTGCACCATAGATAATCAAGGAATACGTAAACCGCCAACACTGCTCTAAACCATTCATACCAACTTCTGAAATGTCATAAATAATCGGCAGGAACAAGTTTATGAACCACTTCATTCGAGCAGCTTAAAATGATGTTTGCTATCACTCGCACTTGGAAGTGAAACAATATGTTGAGATTTATTCTTCTACACGCTCGTACAATGTTCCTCAAAAGTGAGTAAAAATCTACTCTCTTTCGGTAATAGTGGAACTATGCTATCTGAGTATCTTTTACTCAGTTTCTGTTTACGCAAAATAAGCTCAACTGAGTAAATGCTGTCGCGATGCTGTCGTGTATTCGGAAGCTGTTAGAAAAAATGATTCTTCTTCGTCTGGACAAGTGGGTCGAGGCGAATGGCTTACTCTCAGTTGCAGTCCATTCATTTTGACTAAAAAAATGTTTTAAGAAATTATGGAATAATAAGATATTATGAAAATATTTTGATTATGTAAACAACAAGAAAAGATTGTTAAGTTTGTGTTTGACACATAATACCTGCCAATTTTGCTACATGAAAACGCAATAAGCGATTTTGTAATTTATCTCACCCACTCTTCGCTCTTCACTCTTCGCGAAGAGGCGATCAGAAAAGCGCTCATTGTGACTCTGTCAAAGCTAAATTTGCAGGTTTGATGGGTGAAACACAAACTTTACAATCTTTTCTTATTAC